TTTTTATGCCATTCCATTTTATACCGATAATGTAAGAAACGGGTCACCTTCAAAAAATACGATTATACCCTTTCAACCGCAAGCTGAACAGCGCCAAGTGAAAAAACTCAACGCCTTTTTGTTGGAGTGAGACATTGAAGTACAATATGCATTTATTATGACATTTAATCTTTGATAAGGAAAAAACAGCACTATATGCTAAGGCAATGATGCTGGAAAGAGGTCTATGAACCCCATGATTACAGAATTGAAACGATTTTCTAGTTTGCCATCACTGTTCCTGTAAGAATACGTCAAGTAATATACCATTAGAGGGTAATAACACGATGCTGAACTGTGTACAACTGAGAACGAAACAGAAGAAAACGACAGGAAATGTGAGGAATAACAAAAAAAGGAGGCAGAAAGGAAGTAGATATCTTACGACGGTACCTGTTTTACAGTCTTTTCCGTTATAAAACTGTGGACACCAACTGCAATGATAATTGTCACCCTCGAATTTTGCAACACATTTCCCTTTGTTTATGCAGGGATTGCTGAAGCAAAGACTCTGTTTCCATAAAACAGGAAAAAGTTAACATTCTCATTTCAGATATGAATGCGTTTTTGACAATCATCAAAATATACATTTTCAATGATATGAGTGAGATCACGTGAAATAATATCTTTTGAACATAATTTTCTTGCTCTAACCTGTGTTATGCGGTTTTATGATCCCACACTATATTTCCGCATCATAACAAGCTATAGCTTGGACGCGATATCTTGAAATTGGCTTAAAAACACTTTAAATGATTTACATTCAAATATGTTAAAGTCAAATCAGATCAAATCTACTCTCACCGTTTTACTGAAATGATGAAACATCGGATTGTGAATCAACTCCTTGGAGTCCCTGTGCTTGTCAGAAGGAAGCAGCTCACACAACAGTCTTCCTTTGATATCAGGAAATGCAGCCAGGTTATACGAGAAACATGAAGTGCTTTCCAAACAGGAAAATCCACACTCGCTACCATCTTGGACACGTTCTGAACGGATTCTTGTGATCTTCAGGTAGGAAAAGTGTTCGTGCTTGAAGTTCGCGTATAGTACACCCAGCTCAGAAAAATCTTGCCGAACACCTTTTAATTAAAGGAATTATATTCATCATTTAGTTTTATGAAAGCTGTGAAAAAATATTCCAAAATGATTGCCTGTCAAAAACTAAAAATCTATTTTACAGGGATTTGCTTTTTTTGAAAAAACTTTTGGACTAGACTGGCTGAGATTCAGGATGTGCCAAAGCAGCGAGGGTAAAAAATGACAACCCTCAACTTATATTGATCAAAGCCGTGGCAAATAACAGAACTAAACATACTACTGAATTGGGCTGAGTTATTTCGACTCGCCGTTCAACTAGAAACAATTTAAAAGAGGGCAACCGCTGTGCTTTTATTAGAACGTTTCCGGTTGCTTCGTTTGGGTACCTTTGCCATCAGTGACCACCTATACCAAGTTTATTACAAAGTGCGGCAAGTGTTGTTACAAAGAGCAACACCTTGTTTTGATGATTACAAGGTCCGATGGTCTGTTATTACAAAGTGCGACAGGTATAACAAGGCGCGACAATTTAATTACAAAGTCTGAAAAGTATTTTAAAGAGCGAGAGAACTTCCCGCATCGCCGGCGACTAAATTAAAACTGTTTAGCTCAGTCCTATTGTTACTATTCAAAATGTTGCCAAGCGATACCTAATGGGAGAAATTCAACATGGCTGTTCAGAACAAAAGCCAAATGTATAAGTGTATTGAATGGCATTGAAACATCAGAGAGCCTTAACAAAATGTTAGCATATAAGGGGCAAAATTACTGAATTGTGATTGGTCAAGACAGAGGGCATTTCTTCTCAATTTTTGTAATTGCCCCGGGAAAAATTACTTGAAAATGATTCGCTGAAAATCGCTTAGCAACGGCTGCCAAGGTAAAGAAATTTCTGTTTGTTTTGTAACAATGGCGTCCCATTTTGCGCGAGATCAGTAAGAAAACAGTTTGCCCCTTATATTATAAACAAGTAACCACATGGTTCCTCGTAAATTTAAGGATTAATTGTGTTTTCGGAAGCTGCAGAAATTGCTCTCGTCGCTGCGCGACTCGGGAAATTTCAGCAACTTCCGAAAACACGCGTAATATTAATCCTTAATTTTACTCGGCCCCATGCGATTACCTATACATATTCAGAATTATAGCGGAGAGCATGAAGATATTGAAAACCAAAAAAATGTCCCATTTTCATTTCAAGAGCTACACCCTGAACTATAAAGTATTCTTAATAGAGGACATTTAACTAACGATTAAAATTTTGGTCATTTTACGGTTAACGTTTAATGTCTTTCTGTTGCGATTAAAATGATAAAATTTACGGTTCATTTTTATACGACTAACCGTTAAAATTTGTTAGTTTTTAACTTAACAGCTAAATTAAACCCGATTGAGACCCTCTTGAACGACATTTCGAGGCGGGTGTACTTTGTGAGAGTAGTTCAATTTAGAGACCCTTTTGTGAAAACTAGCGACAAGATGTTTTATTCCAGGGCGTTAATTAAGAACTCTGTCATCACTTGTTATCTTAGCAATCAGGAACGAGTCAAACTTTCCGTGGAGGATTTTCAGCTAGATTTTTTTATCAAGTCTTTTCAATGTATTAAGTTAGAAAAAAACCATTCTGCTTCAATAGTCGTTACAAACCGAAACTTATTATATCAGTTTATCTTATTTATTTTGACCTCCATAGTTTGACTCATCACAAACATGAATTGCCAGTTTTCTGTAATGTGTGTGAAACCACTTTTAAACAAAGGGGGAAAAAGCGAAAAAAATAGCTCCTCTTTTAAAGTCAGTTTTTCCGAGAAAAAAAAATTAGAAAGTAGTGGAAGAATAAACTAAGCAGAGATAAAACCTAGACGCCGCGATACATCTTTTCTACCGTTACGCGCATTGTACGTCTGAAATAATGATCTTAATTTCCAGTAATTTCCAATATTTTAAAAAGCAAATGTATTTCTGTTTTATTTTTCTTGAACTGAAGAGTTGTGCCCAAGAATCAAAGCGTGTGTTAGCTACGACAAGACAGTCCTTAGCGATGGATGCTCACGCCCCAATAACATAACATAACATACTAAGGGTCGAATTAAACATAGCTTCGGTCAAAGGGATAAAAATAGCAGATATAGTTACCTTCACAAATTATCAAGATATATATTACGGTAACCATTACAATACGATCCATTTCTTGTAGTCGTGGATTCAGCGATGTTGTGAATCGGAACTTCATGGCCAATCTGTTGACAAATAAACTTCTGACCACACTCACACTACCGAAATCATCTTGGGTAAAATTTAGATGACTGGTTCAAAAAAACCACCCGCGGCTCCATCTAAATAAAGTATTTAATTTTCTCACGCGTCAAGGCCTCACGGAAACATACTACGTATATAAGTAACTGATATTTGTTTTCCCATGAAAGCTGTCAGCAATAAAATGATGTACGTATGCACTATACAAAGACTACCTACTGAAAAAACTTATGTAGCTACGTTAGAAAGTTGACAGGATATTTGACAGAGCCTGGAATTTTCAGAACCGTAAGAACAATAAATGTTTTGCCAATGCGTTTTTTGTTTGTTTGTTTTTCAAGACTTAAGATGTGATGAGTCACCATGATAATCATGGAGGTTCTTCCATGTTGCAGTCCTCAAATTGGTTCTACCCATCGTAGGTTAATATCACAGATACACTGAGAAGGCTGGCAACATTTTTGAGTATTTTTCTGGCAGTCTTTGGACATCTGAGTGGTTTTCTGACTTTATGACTTATTTACAGCCTCGCCGGTTTTAAAAAGCGATATTTGTAATCATGAGTTATTCATCATATACCCACAGGATTCCAGTTGTGGCTTCTGATCTGACAAACAGGAAATTGAGTCTAAAACTGAGCTAAACTCATGCAAACAATAGTGTTAATGAATGGCTATATCGTCTTGATCCATACAAAGGGAAAAAGAGAACTCGTCCAATATTTTAGCCATCATGGTCTTACACTTGATCATTAACGCATATATCTTGAGCTCACGTGAAGTCCATATCGCATATGTAGTAATCAGGTTATTAGTTATTACGGGGGTGTTTATGATGCAAAGAGGCGACCTTTGCGCCCGCGCAAATTAACCCCCGCTATGCTGTAGCGTAGTGAGAATCATATCAATTTTGTTAAAAGTTTTCCAACAACGCCATGTAAACGAAAAGCTTGTCTCAAATTTAGGCTCAAAGAGGGTTGTTCAGTAAAGAAAGTCTTAAAGTAAAATATTGACCCAAGTGATTCTTAAAAGCCCACAGGTTTTTCATATGATCTCGACTAAGCGAAGGTTCGAGAGGAAACTATAGACAATTTGTGAATTCATGAGGCAGTTATCTCTAGAAGTTCTCCTTGTAATCAAAACCATCATCGACGGTGTCTTCATAATCATCAGCATCAAATTTTTTCTACCTGTCTGTAAAAAAAAAAAGTCCAGTTTACAATGCGCATCGTCTTGAAAGCGTGATGGACAGGTGAAAAAAACGGACGCTGTTGAGAAATGGCGACAACAACGTGTCACATTATGTCCCTTTACCCGTCAAAAAGTTTGCGTTTTCATGTGATAAGGAGTTTTATAACATAACCAAAGTTAAGCGCGCGCTCTGATTGGTCAATTTAGCGTCCCCCATTTGCCCATGGGTGTACGCTGCTGACGTGAGCAAATGCAAAGACTATTTTTCCGCGCGCGTTTGTTTTTTTTCTGGTCGCGTAAGATTTGTTAAATAAAAGGGAACTCTTTAGCTACAATGTATCAATGTTATGTTATAAAACAAATGGTAAACACCACAGCGTACACTATTGAGTTATGGATGCACTTGGGAGGTTTGCTAAGCACTCAAGAAGCTAGAGTCGCTCTCGGCTATCGCCTCGAGCGACTCTTACGCTTCTTTCGTGCTTAGCAACCTCCCGCGTGCATCCATAACTCAATAGTGTACGCTGTGGTGTTTACCATTTGTTAATTAGAGATCAATACAACACAGTTAGAGATATGTTTTCTTTCAAACACTCAGCCAGAGAAGCCGCACCAGCTTCACCAATGTTATTTCTGTTCAGATTTATACTTTTCAGGGATGAATTTTCTTTCAAAAACTCAGCCAGACTAGCAGCACCAGCTTCACCAATGTCATTTTCATCCAAGTCTAACTTTTGCAGAGATTTATTTTCTTTCAAACACTCAGCCAGAGAAGCAGCACCGTCATCACCAATTTTATTAAAACTCAATCTCAAATATGTCAGAGATGTATTCTCTTTCAAACACTCAGCCAGAGAAGCAGCACCAGCTTCACCAATGTCATTTTCATCCAAGTCTAACCTTTGCAGAGATTTATTTTCTTTCAAACACTCAGCCAGAGAAGCAGCACCTTCATCACCAATTTTATTAAGAGTCAAACTCAAATATGTCAGAGATGTATTCTCTTTGAAACAATCAGCTAGAGCAGCCGCACCAGATTCACCAATGTTATTTCTGATCAGATATATTTTTTCCAGGCATGAATTTTCTTTCAAAAACTCAGCCAGAACAGCAGCACCAGCTTCACCAATGTCAGTTCCATTCAAAA